TCTTTTAATTCATGTCTTAGCTATTCTTTGAGCCATTGAATATTTTAAAGTCAATTTTTTATCATTTTTCTTTGGAATTTCATCCTCTTCTATATTTGTGGGATCATTTGTTGAAGGATTGTGAATTTGGGGGTGGGGTGGATTGGTTTGCCTGTTTCCTCATATTTTCAGAGGATTAGCACCTGCATATCAGTTGAGATGGATTCCTCTTCCTCTTTTGTACACATGTCCTTTCATATGTAGTTATATTTTGTGTTGTGGGGTTTCTCTGCATTTTTGATATATGGGTAGATGTCAAGGGCTGGGACCTGAAGTTCCCCTTGGGTTGCTTCTAGTTGGGGCCTAGTTGTGGGTTTGGGGTTTTTCTCTCTCCAGTTCTCTAAGTTGAAGTAATGTTGAGACATGGATGGGGCTAGATTGTGTGTGGGTGAGATTCAGTGTTGCTTTGCTGAGTTGTGATTATTGCTTGGCAGCAGGATCTTTATTCCATGATCTTGAAGTGTCCCAATCACTTTTCATACCCTCTTAGAGGAAGGGGGAGCCAGAACTGCACAAATGCCAGCAACAGATATATAATATTAGGATAAATGTATGGTGTCTACTTTGAAATCTATAATACGAGCTGTCACCAGTATAGTAATGTTGGGGTCAGCATTTAACATCACTAGAAACAATAAAAAAAAACCACCTTAACTCTATCAGGCATTCAATAGCAGGAGTATAGTACATCATCTATATATTAATAAGTACAACATGCATAGGGGTAGGAATGATATGAATGACATAATTCTATTATTAATGGGATTAAGTTTTTAATTAAAGAGAGAATAGTGTGGGAATGAGAAGGTTTAAAACATTTGAAAGAGGAGAGGGAGGGTGGGTAGCAGATGCTTCTTGTAAAGAAGAATAAATAAAAATTAACTGAAAGTAATGGAAAAAAGGAAGAGGGAACAGGAAAATCTGTGAGTCAGTGGAGGGCGAGAGTGAAGAAGGGGAGATTGGGACCAAGAATCAAGAAACGAACGAAGTAGCAAATGTAAGATCAAAACAAGTCAAACCCTTGTACAAGTTTACCCCACCCATGTCCAATGATGACTAATGAACAAGTGCAGGGGAGAGCAATTGATGTGAAAGTAAGATGGCATGAATATACACACATTTTTGCACCTATCAGCACAGTGAGATCCCCCTCCCCTACATCCATGCACTGAAAATCATGAATGATGGGGAAAGTGGAAAGTGATGCAATATGATGAAATGATGTGTAAGAAATTTTAAAAGTCAAAATATTACAGAAGAGATAAAGCATTGGAACATGGAGAAAGAATAAGGAAAATGAAACAGAAAAATATAGAACATTTTAGTGAGAAATAAGGGGCTTGTTCTGCTGAGGTGGTCAAAACGTTGAGGGGTTGGGTTTTCAATCTTCATATTTCCTTTGGGCTCTGTGACTCTGGGGTCGAGGGCTGGGCTTGTGCAGTCAATGTTGGTGCTCCTCCTCTGGCTGCTTTCTGGTGTGGCTGGGAGCCAAGGCTGGCTGCAGTAGCTCTTAGCTTCCTAGCACAGGGTGGCACAGTCTTGGGTGCTGATAAACTGTGTGTCCCTGCAGCAGGGTGGGGTAGAGTTCTATTATGCACATTCCAGTAATTTGGCCTTCTCTGAGCTGGGGAACTCTGAGCCTAGGTGTTGGGATTTGATCCATGTACCTGTTGCTGGGAGATGCTGGTCTCTGCTATATATACATTGCGGTTTCTGAGGCTTCCTGTACACTCCACTTTCAGGAACTGAACCTCCCCAGGTTTAACTTTCAGTGAGGCATTACATTTCCGGGTGTCCGCCCTGGAGTGCAGCTGCCCTGTGAGGCTGAGTAGGGTTCTTCCCAGGAGCTCTCATGGGGCACCTCCAGAGAGCTTTCTCCCTTGAAATTTGGAAACTTGGGGTCCAATTAATTTTCTTTGTGCCTATTTCAGTCTCTCTGGTTAGGGCAACCTTGGGAATTTATTTTTAATCAGCTCCTGGCAACTTCCTTTATGACTTCCTGATATCTGTCTCTGCTTGTGGCTATGCACTACTTATAAATGTTTCCTGAGCCCTGCCCCCAATTTTCATGCTGAACCCTGGAGCACTTTTCACACCAGCGGAATGCTTCTCCACCCAGACCTTGGCGGTCACTGTCCTCCTCTCAGCTCTATGAATCTAACTCTTACAGATGCCTCTTAGGAGTGGGATCACATGGCATTTGTCCTCCTGTGCCTGATAAATTTTATTTCAGATACTGTCATTGAGGTTCATCCATTTATTGAAAATGTCCAAGTTTCCCCCTGAAATTCAGGATTTAGGCTGGTGAATACATGAGTGTGTGTATATACAGTCTTTATTTTTTTTCCCCTCTTATTGACCAACCTGCATGTTGTGTCCACATCTTGGTGAATAGTTTTGCAATGAACCTGAGACCCTGTTTTCAGATTTGTAAGATGAGTAAGTTTTGGAGATCTGCAATGCTATAGTGCCCACATTAACAATCCTGTAGATATGCTTAAAAATTTATTAAGAAGGTAGCTCTCATGCTAGGTGCTCCTGTGTAGCTCAGCGGTCGAGGATGTGCCTAGCGAGTGTGAGGCTGCAGGTTCAACTCCCAGACTTGCCAAAAAATAAAGGGTAGATTTGAAATTTTAAAATATGTGTATTTGAAGAGTGGCTTATTTTGGTTTTACGTAAATTTTATCTTTCTGAATTTCATTTTTCTCAGAGAATTATAGTGATGATAAAATGAGTAATAAGTGCACGAACCTTTGGAAAAAATTGCCATGCTATAAAATAAAATAAATAAGTCTTTGTTGAACAGATTCACAAATTTCCCCAAGGCAAGGAGCTTGGTTTGCTGTTGACCTGGCTGCATGTCCCTGTTTCTTTCCCTCTGAACACCAAGCCTGTGTGGAGGGTCCAGCCTCCATGGCCACCTGGGTGTGGGGTTCCCGCACAGCGTCCCCAAAGGCTGATGTGCACTGTTCTGCCTTCTCCTGTGTTTCAGTCCTCCTGGAACCTCCTTTTAAACCCCAATACTGTGTTTAAAAATGTACCCTATTGTTTCTTTTAAAAATCTTTTTATTGTCATATGCAGCAGCCCGGCTGGCTGGGCAAAATAACCGGGGGGTGGGGCTGGGGATGTGGCTCAAGCGGTAGCACACTTGCCTGGCATGCGTGCAGCCCAGGTTCGATCCTCAGCACCACATACCAACAAAAATGTTGTGTCCACCGAGAACTAGAAAATAAATGTTAAAAATTCTCTCTCTCTCTCCTCTCTCACTCTCTCTTAAAAAAAAAAATAACCAGAGTGGGAGGGGGTGACGAACAACTTGTGTACGTTGATACAGCAGGAGTGGGAGCCGTTTATTGTAGGACAGGAGCGGTATTTATACATTGCACACAGCTTATCTTAATTAACATAAACTAGATACAGCAATCAACCAATAAGGAATCTCCACACTTAATGGCTTGCTGGCATTACTTCACAAACCACTCCCCCTGGCAAAATGCCAGGCGCCATCTTGACTTGTTTACAGACCTTAACAGTCATAAAGTTATAAAATTATATTTGTTGTGGCAAACCCTGGGACTGACCATTGAAGCCAACTCCATGTGTACATGGGTGGCACTCAGCACCTCCACCATGTCCCATGAGCACTGCCCTTCCCCAAGCCTGTCATCACCTCCAACTGACACTGCACCCCTGAACAATTCCACTGTCTTCCTGTTGCATCCCACTCAATTAGGGACTTTCCTGAGCCTCCACATAAAATGCTCCTTCCAGACAGGGCTGCCTGGGATGGCTTCTGCAGCCAAGTTCAGCTCTCCTCCGGCTTTCCTCCCCTGCCCTCGGTGAGTATTGCCAAAATTCCTGGAAACCCACACAGGACACCTGGACTCGGCAGTGTTACGACTGGTTGCCCAAACAGGAAAGCCTCTACTGGTTCCTCAGAATGGGCTGTGGATGTGCCACTGTTGCTGGCTTTGGAACCAGGTTCACCTCAGCCTTGCAAGTGTTCTGAAGGAGAGGGAGCAGAGGAGGCCATGGGCACTGTTGGTGGGCGGGAACACCTTTTTGCTTTCAACTTGTCCCTCAATTAATAACTATGTTCTGGTGCCCACTGCCAAACTCTGTGAATGTGACTTAAACACACAATTCTTGTGTTTTCCTTATCTGGCTGTGCAGCGTCTCCAGGTCTCACGTCTCCCTAGAACTTAGGTGGAGCTCGGTGCAAATCATGGAATCAGCCCAGGAGGAGACCCTGGAGCATGATTTCATTTGCACTATCAGAGTGTTCTTTAGGGTTCAGTAGTTTTTTTTTTAATATTTAGTTTTTAGTTTTAGGTGGACACAATATCTTTATTTTATTTTTATGTAGTGCTGAGAATCGAGTCCAGTACCTCATGCATGCTAGGCGAGCATGCTACCACTTGAGCCACATCCCCAGCCCCTCAGATATAGTTTTAAAGAGGGTTGTGTTTACCCACTAAAAGAAAAAAATAAAATTAGCTAACGAAAGTTTGCATTCGTCACAAGATTAACATTAGTCGACTTTTCCCAAGAAATTATTCAAATGGCCAAAAATAAATCCATGAAAAGATGCCAAACATCTTAAGATTCAGAGAAGAACAACTCAAAACCACAGTGAGACATGCCCTACCTTTTGGGATGGTTACAATAAAAAATCAACAAATAATAAAAGAGTTGGTGAGAATGTGGAGAAATTGGAACCCTGTTGCATTGAGAATATGCACTGGTGCATTACTTTGGAATGTGCTCTGGGGGGTTAAACACAGTTAAGACAGAGTTACTAACTACAAGACCCAGCAATTTCACTTCTAGGTATATAACCAACATATTTCAAAAAAGAAAAAAAAAAGTGTGTGCAAGGTTGATCATGACTCTTTCCTGTGCAGCGAAGACATCAGGGCGGGGACAGAGCCCGCCTTCCTTCCTCACTGTGTGACATCCCTTTCTGCCTGGCAGAGAGAGCTGACCTCCCTCTCCACCCAGAGGCAGTCTCTTCAGACCATACACACCTGGTGGTGAGCACCTTGAGTTTGGTGGTGACACCTGCGTGGTGGGGCTCCGCTTTTCTTGAGAGGATGACTTTGGGACTGAGAAATCCATGTCCTCAGCTGAGGGCCATGGGGAAACACAGCCCGGACTTCCCAGCCCAGGAGAGACCCCATCTGCTCCCTAGATGGAGGGTTCCCCCTCTTGGCCCCGTCACCCACTTCAGCTTTGGAGGGAGCCCTAGCACCTTCCACCTACTGCAGGAGAGTCCTTCTGAGGAAGGGCGGCTGTCTTCCCTGGGTGCCTTGGTGATGGAAATAGCCACTTTCCTTTCTACATCCCTGACAGGAGCCACACCTGGAGCTGTCTGGCGTTTGGAGGGCTGGACTCTAGGCCAGAGCACTGTCCCTCTGACCCTTTTTCTCCCTTTGGCCTCTGCAGTGTCCTGGAGTCAGCATGGTGACCAGTGTCCAGGCCTCTACCCTGAGGAGTCTCCCTACTCTCTGCATCTTCATGGCCCTGGTTTTCAGCTCTGTAGGTAAGGACCAGCAAGCAACCCTCTCCTAAGGGTGGGAAGGTGGGCAATAAGCCCTCAGGGAGGGAGCCTGAGGGACCCACCTAGCCCACAGGGAGAGGGATGTCCTGTCCCCTCCATCCCTAGGTGTGTCTGTCTACTAGAAAGAGCAACTTCCACCCTTGCCACTTTTCCCTCCTGGACGACTTTAAAGTGTTGCTTCAATCAACATGCATGGCCATATCCAGTGCCCTGCAGTTTTGCATAATTGTGGGGCTCTTTTCATGCATGATGGGAAGTTGTTTGTTTTTCTGTGCCCAGTGCTCCATTTCCTCCCCTCCTCCCTGCTTCCTCTACACTTTGGTCTTCCTTCCATTAACCTATCTTTAAATTTCTGCAATGTGGTTATGCATAAGGAGGAATTCACTGTGGCAGAGTTGCCAGTGTACACAACATAACTGGATCAGCCTCCCTTGGTGTTATTTCCCTCTTGTAGAGAGTTACACGTGTACGGAATGCACTGGGAACGCATGTCAGTCTAAACCGGAGACCTGTGAGGCCTCTCAGGGCTGCTTCAATAATAAGCAACAGTTTAGCCAACCAGGTGAGCCCTGCCTGCCTCAGGCCCATGTGGGTGCACACAGGACCTCGGAGGGAGGGGCTGCTCAGCTCAGGATTCAGTGTAGCCCCTCCCTCCCCTCTACTCCTCTACTCTACTCTGGCTCCTAGGATGAGGGGGGTTGTGGGTAGGGGAGGTGGCAGGGGTGGGCACTGTGCCAAGTGAAGGGTCTCAGGGGGAGGTGCTGGGTGACTCCAGTCCCCAAATCCGTCTCAGGGGTGGGGGATCAGTGAGAAAGGACACCTGCTACTTTTTTGTGATTTTGGATTCAAACCCAGGGTCCCACACATGCCAGGCAAGCACTCGAGCAGCACCATCAAATGGTTCCTCCATGGGTTTGTTCTATGAAGAGGACCACTGGGGAGGACTCTTGGGAAAGTGGAAGCACTAAGGACAGAGGGGTGCCCTTGCAGAATTCCTTGATATTGGTTGCCCGTCTGGACACCCCCCTCTCTAGGACTCAGAGGGAACATTCTCTTTGGTTCTGGTTCTGCACAGGTATTTCACCAATAATTACACAGGATAAAGGCTGCTTTTCACGTGCGTGCACTCCCCTGTCCTTCTCTGCCACCGTGAGGACTGGATGGACATTTGTGTATGAGAACCAGTGCTGCAAGAGCGAGCAGTGTAACAAAGCAGACATCCAACGTGAGTGCCTGCTGCTCTCCCAGCCCCTGGATTTCCTCTGCCTCTGAAGTCACCCACCACCCACCTCCACTTCTGAGAGGCCCAGAGTGTTTTCTTCTTTTCTTGTGAAGGGGCAGGTTGGACCTAAGTCCCTTCTGCATGGGAGACGGGCAGCTGAGTGGTGGGACAGGCCTGGGCATTTTCTCTATTTGTGCTTTGGGTCAGCATCCCAGCAGAGAGATTCTCCTTACCTATCTCACTCCTCACCTCTCTTGTTCTGCTTTGCTGAGATGGACTCTCACTATATTCTCACGCTGGCCTCCAACTCCCGGGCTTGAGCAACCCTGCAACCTCAGCCTCTAGGGTGGGGATGGCTAGGACTGTGGGTCCCAGGCCACACCTGCCTGTCCTCCCCTGTGTGAGCAGCATCATTTCAGGCCTCAGATTACCTTCTGCCCCATTATCTAGGATTGTTCTCCAGCCAGGGAGAGAAAAGTCCTTGATGAAGGGGGAAGATAACACTAAATCCCTACACGCTCTCTCTGATTAATATTTTCTACCTGATCCATAAATCCTGTCCCTAACCCTTCCTATGCCAATCTAGCTGTGAATGGTTTGAGGGATTTTGGAATATTCACAAATTCAGGGGATAAGAATTCTCTCAGCTCTTCTTTTTGCCCATTGCTCACCATGAAAACTTTCTTTCTTTATTTAGTGTCTCCAGTGTCCAAGGAAGAAAATGGCATTGTATGTCCTGCCTGCTTCTCTGACAATGGCACGTTCTGTACCCCACAGCCCCTCAAGTGCACAGGGGCAGAGACGAAGTGTGTCGAGGTTACAGGCAAAGGTATGTAGATTTCCCAAGCATTTTGGGTCATCCTCTTAATGGGCACAAGGTGTCTGCCATCTATTGCTGTGTACCTAATTAAACCCAAGCTTAACAGCTTAAGAGGACATCTGTCCCCCTGTGATCTGAAGGTGGCAGGTCTGAGAGGGAAATAGAGGTTGTTGTGGCTCAGGCTGTCTCCTGAGCTGTGGTCCAGCCGGCAGCAGGGGCTGAGGTTGCTCAGAGCAGGATCTGCTTCCAAGCCCATGCAGCCTCCATTCCTCTTCCTGGGCGTCTTCCTAGGTCTCCTGGGGGTCATGACCTGCCAGCTGGCTTCCCTAGATTAGGGATGAGAAGTGAGTGGGGGAGCTGAGGCTCTTCACAGCTCATCTGAGAAGGGACACTGCTTCATTTCTCCTATCCTCTTAGTCACCTAGAACCACCCTGTTACACCTGGGGAGGAAGGCATGGAGGCACCGACAGCAGGGGTGGGACCTGCAACTGCTGTGACAGTGCCTGATGCCCACAAGCAAGTGGTGGTAGAGGGCCAAGGGCCTGGGTATCCCTCCTAGGATTGCAGGGAGCCATGGGGCAGGAGACAATTGAGCAGTTCCAAGGAGAGCAGAGGAGAGGACTGGGGACGCACGGGCTGTCATGTTGTCCTGGAAAGGGACCATGTCTCAGTGACATGAAGGGTGGACACCCACAGTCCTCTCTGTCACCCTCAACACCAATACCTCTAAGAGCAAACCCTCGGGGCCAAGCACTGACGTTCTGCATGGTGTCATTCTGACTCCAGTGAAGGTTTTCGAGTTTTCCTGAGCAGGAGAAAGCTTGTGTTTGTGGTGAGGGTGCAGGAGCCCCTCAGATGGGAGCAGGAGAAGCCACCATGGGGTGTCCTTTCTGGGCTGGACAGCTAGATGGGGCACTGTCAAGTCTTTTCTGATCAACATGTAAAGGGTTCCCTGGAATTAGTGGCATTTGAGGAACTAAATAATGTTGGAGCTGAGAGTTTGTTGAGAATGAAGGTTTGTCATGGTTTTTTATTTTCTTTTTCTTTTTGAGTAATTTGGAGGAGGGTCTGAGACTAGCAGGGAGGGCCCTCTGTCTAGCTGAGCTGACCTGAATGAGGGAAATGGGTGTCACCTGGGATACAGAGGAGAGGTGGGCTCTCTGCAGTGGGGCAGCCTTTCTGCTCCAGGTTTCTGTAGCATGTGTCAACCCTGGGCAGAGGGGACCTTATCTACAGTATTTCCCTCTGGGTTCCCAAAGGATGTGAAGGTGCAGAAGAGAACAGGGATCCCAGTTGTGTTCAGCCAAACCCTTGAGATCCGACCTCCACCTCCTTCTCTGCCTTCATCAACCACATCTCTCCTCGGGAGGCCATAGAGGCTCAAGTCTCAATTCACTTCTTAGACAGCAGCCCCCTAACCCCCACCGGACATCCCTTTCTGGGAGGTACCTGGGATTGACCTCCACCACTGAGCCGCATAGCCAGCACGGTTTTTATATTTTATTTAGAGACAGGATCTTACTGAGTTGCTTAGTGCCTCACTTTTGCTGAGTCATCCTTGTGCCTCAGCCTTCGGAGCCTCTGGGATTACAGGCATGAGCCACTGTGCCCAGCTAGCAGGGTCCCTTTAAGGTACCTCCAGTCCTGGGGAGACAGAGGGACCTAGGGAAACTAGCTTGGTCCCTAGATGGGACTCTTCTTCATGCAGAAGACATAGGTCAGGGGTCAAGGGCCATTCTGAGCACCTTTTTGCTTTGCAAAAGAAGCAGACAGATTAACCTGAGTACAGTGGGAAGGAGGGGAGACAGGGTGAGAAAGAGTCTCATTGCCAATTTTTCTCCCACAGGAGTGTTTAATGGTTTTTCTTCTTTAACGATGTCTGCTATGGGTTGTGCAACTGAAAGTGCTTGCAACTTGAAAGACATAAATGTAATACAAACTCCTACAAACATTTGGACCAAATGTGAAAATCCCATCAGTGAGAGCTCCCAGCTGACACCCATCATCTCGTCCACTCTGACTAGTCTCCTCCTGCTCAAAGTCTTGCTTTGATGACTCAGGGGCTGGCAAGCCTATCATCTGACAACCACCAAATGTGAGCTTCCTTGGGTTGTGGCTTCTCCAACGTCCCCAAAAGGACACAATTAACAAGCTGATGCTTACACACACACATACACACATATGGGATTACTTGTTTGTACCTCAAGTTAAAATAAATAATCATTGTTATTCATTGTCTCAGGGGCTCTTTCTTCACCCAAGTAACACACTTCAGAGGAAGTCTGAGATGAGATCTCTAAGAATCTCTAAAGTCCCTCCATGGTCTCAATGCATGTTCTCTGCCACACATCTAGGATCACACCTCTTTTCTGATATGCTCAGCCCCTGCCCCCCAATCCTCAATTTCCCTCTGCTAATGAAAATGATTTTGAATGAACGATTCAGGGTGCAGCAGGGTGCTCTCCCACAGTTTGTAGAGTCTCGGGTTCAGCTGACTCTCCTACCTCAGATCTACTTGTGTGGAATCATTTCCATGTTCTCTGGACACTTCTGCTTCCAAAGATCGACACAGGCATAGGTGGTCTCTGAAAGCTACATTAAAGAATGAAGATGCATCATTAGCACTCAAGAGAGGTGTGTTTCATCTTCATAAGGCAGGTTTGAGGCTATGGTGGCCACTGCATACCTCAGATGTTGCCTGTGAGGAGGTGGGGGATCCAGGAGAGGCAGAGCCTTTACAGAAACCTCCTGATGCTGACCCCACCACAAAGTGCTCCGGCATTCTGCTCAAAGGGACACCTTGGTTCTCTAGCTCTCTCTCCCTCAGGGTGCAGCCTCCCTCCTGAAGTGACAGCAGAGTGTCCCAGCAGGTGTTTCTTTCTTGGGGGTTCGTAAAACCAAGGATGTCCTTGCCCAGGTCGGGCCTTCCTGGGTCTCCTGTTAGTAGCTTTTCTTTTCCTCCTGGGCACAAGCCATGCCCAGCAACAGCTCTCTCTGCCATTCTCCACGGGTGAGGGCAGCACACCTCCATCCTGCTCTGTGGAGCCCTTTGGCACATGCCCATCTTCGTTTCCTGCACCTGTAGCTGTGTGTGGTGGACTCTGGGACCCAATAGGAGTCTCAATAGGAGAGAAGATGCCCAAGTTGGCACTAGGATTGTTGATGGACAGAGTTGATCTGGGAAGGGATGTATGGATCCTTGTTGGACCTGGTAATTTATGAGCAAGAATTAATTCCTTGTGTTCCCCATGAGAAGAGATTGAATTTCAAAAAATGATAAAAAGGCATAACACATGTGGAGGGCTTACTACACCCCAGCCACCATACTACTCACTCCAGATGGGTTGACTCCATTCTCACAAAATGCAGTGTATGTATTATGGTCATCCCCATCTCACAGATGAAGAAAGAGACAAGGTCTTCCTCACTCCACACAAGCCCCTTCCCTTTTCCTCCTCATCTCTACCCCTGTCTTCTCATTTCTCACTCAATTTTCCTTTTATTTCTCCATGATCATTTCCCAGTGTCACTAGTGTTCCCTGCATTTCTCTCCTCTAATCAGCTATCTCAGGGCCTGAGGTTTGTCCCTTCTTTTCACCAGGGCTGAGAGCAGCCTTTGCCCCAGCAGGGACCCTGCAGTCAGGGCGCCAGTGTGAACAGACCTGCTCTCCTTGGCTGCCCCGGCTTTCCTGGGTTGGAGGGAGGAGCGGTCAGCTTTCTTCTTCCATCTTTTTCTCCAAGATAACAGGTGAACATGGAGCCAGGGCCACGCAATTCATGGACTTCCATTGCAGGTGAGGAAGCATCTTCTGGGCCTGGAGGGAAAGGTGTCTAGGAGCTGGCGTCCAGGGCACATGTGTGCCTGGAGATTCTCATGAGACCTTGGGCCTCAGGAGCTGCCAGCAGCAGGAAGGTTGTGTTATGACCCAGGAAAGCCTTGGCCACCTCTGAAGGTGAGCTGCAGGACAAGGTATTAGTTTGCTTACAACTTAAAAAAAAATAAATCTCATTATTTGACCCATATTGCTGTTCCATTTAGAGGAGCTGCCCTAGGAGGTGGGGGGATATTCTATCATGTGCACAGTGGCAAAAAGCAAATTAACTTAGTTTTATAAAAATGATTTTAGCATAGGGGCTGGTGTGGTAGAGCACTCGCCTAGCACGTGCGAGGCCCTGGGTTCAATCTAGAGCACCACATAAAAACAAATAAAATGAAGGTATTGTGTCCAACTACAACTAAAAGAAAATATTAAAAAAATACTTTAAAAAATGATTTTAGTATAAAATGCAAACATTATGCTTATCTATTTTTAAAGTAAGGGAACATTATTGATCTATAAAAGAGATTTTAAAAGTGGGGTAGGCTAAACAGAAAATAATGAAACATTTACTTTGGTTCTCCCCGATTACACTGGACACACAGATGGAGCCATGGTGGGGGGCACAAGCTCAGGTACCAGCCAAGGGAAGAGCAGGGCAAGCCGTGTTTGGGATCCTCCCTCTGTGGCCACTGCTCACCACTGACCTGGCCCTTTCCTGTGTCCACCTCTCAATGCAGTCATGATCCTCTGTGCTGGGCTCTGGCACCAGTGAGGGTCTTCTGTGCAGCTCCAGGCTGAGGTGGGTGTGTGCCCAGGGGACCCCACAGCCACCCCTGGGCCATCCTCAGTGACAAGTAGGTGGTGGCTTGGGCCCTGCATCTCTCCTCCTCCCGGAAGCCTCCTGGCTGGCTCATGGAGCTGGCAGCACTGGTGCCTAGCGAGGTGCCCAGCGAGGTGCCCTTGAGGAGGGGCCATGGGCCTGAGGCACAGTCATGGGAGGAGGACTCCGTGCTGGGGGCAGCTGACCCTGCACTGTTGCTGAAAGTGTGAGAGATGGGGCACCAGAGGCCTGCGTGGAGCACTGCCCTGTCCCCTCTTGGTTTCCTTCTCTTCTAACAAACACCCCTCCCTCAGGCCTTGCTCAGCAGGCACCTTGACTGTTCCTCCCCCCTCAGAGCAATGGAGGACGGGAGAGCCCTCGCACCTGCCCCATGTCAGCAGCTGTCAGCCTCCCTGTGCCTTGCCACTGTATTCTGAAGTGTGTGCGTGTGTGTGACATGTGTCTCTGTGATCGTAAGCTATCTGTCACCTGCCATTTCCCTCATGAGTATCCCACTGTCCATCCCTGATTAGACTTATAAGGTATGATTGCTGTATCATAATCACACCAAGAGATTAGCTGTGATCCCTTAATCTCCTCCAACCCCGAGCCTGGTACAGTTTCTCAGCTGTCTCAGAGATGCCATGTGTGGTGAGCTGGCGTTAGAAGGAGGACCCTCAGCCCACACTGAGATCCTCCCTCAGACCTGTTCTGTGGGTCTTGCTTTATGACGCTCCCCTCAGTTTTGTGGGGTCCCCTTGGTTGTTGGGGGGAAGAGCCTGCTCCCTGGGGCTGTCCTGTGTTCTGGCTGTGGTGAGGACTTCCCCGTGGGTGGTGACCTTCAGCTTGTCTTCCAGTTCCTGGTATCCCTGGGCCCTGCCTGCTGCTTTCCAGAGGCCTCATCCTCAACTGGGGGACTGTTCATGTCAGCACGGTCCTGCACACTGCCTGCAGGTGGCTGAGGAGGCTCTGGGGCACTGGTGATATGGCTAGATTGGCTAAGGGCTTAATTGTGAACAGTACTTAATTGTAATTAATCTAGATTCACCATCAGTCCTCCATGGAGCCAGGGCTGCCTTGTTGGACAGCTGTGGTCAGAGGCCGCTGGACTCAGACAGGTGGTCCTGGGTAACACCTCCTCAAGGGCACCTCACCAGGCACCAGGGCTGCCAGCTCCATGAGCCAGCCAGGAGGCTGTCTGGAGGAGGGAGGAGGAGAGACTCAGAGCCCAAGCCGCCACCTGGTTCTGAGCAGGGACACAGGCAGTGTTGTGGTGTCAGGGCCCCAAACCCACCACATCTGCTTCCTTGGCTTTATGGAGGTTGGGATTGACAGGTGGCTCTGGGTCACCAGTACCCCCCACCTCTAGGCCTCTCTCAGCCTCTGCCCGTGTTCAGCTGGCCTCCCTGGGGCTCCTGGTCAGTCAGGGCGGTTCCTGAGGGGAGCCTCCAGACCTCCAGACACACTGAGCTGGGGTAGCGGCTTGTGCTTCTGCAGTGGCTGTTGGGAGCCTTGCTGGAGCCTCTGGGCCCTGGTGATGGCCGTGCTTGCCTCTGTGCAAGAGAATTCCTCAAGCTGTACCAGGACATGTGCTGCTCAGGACAGAACTGCATGCAGGAGCTGGATCCCTTCACTATCCACGTGGCTTCTGGGAAGCACGTCCACTTCGCCAGCCAGTGCTGCCAAGGACAGCCCTGTGGAAATGCCAGCGATGTCCTGAGTGTGTGCTGGCTTGGGCTGCAGCCTGCCTCCTACTCCTGCCCTCTGTGCCCACGCCCCTTCCCCTGGGGGGGACCTCAAATCCCAGCACTTCTTGCATCCCTTGGTGACATTCCCTTCTGACGTACAACAATTACGTGAGGAACCAGTGTGACGAACTGGCCCTGCTACCATGGTGTCCCCCCTCAGTAAGGACAGGTGCTGGAGTACCCTGATGTGCAAAGGGCAGTGGACATTCCTCAGTAGTTCTCAAACTCAGGGTCTCAGGTCATCTGTGAAGACGCTGAGGATCCCAGACAGCTTTTATTTATTTATATTTTATTTATTTGCATATTTCTCTCTCTTAGAAGTCAAAGCTAAGAAAATACAGAAATCATGTCCAATTCACTCAAAAAATAATTAGACAACGACACAAGTATGGTTTTAGGTAGAAATACTACATTTTACAAAACGAATCCATTTTGCGGGTGGAGTGGTGTCCCTGGGTGTCCTGCAGAGTTCTTAGTTACTGGGGCAGCCGGCTTGTCCACCTGCTCCAGCTGCTGGTCTGCTGCATCTCTCCCCCCATGGGCTCCAGAAACCCTGTGAGGCTCAGAGGTGCCCTCACAGTGGCCTGCATCTACAGACCCGGGACTCCTGGACCACAGTTTGAGCACTGCTGACCTAACCAAAGGCCTCCCTATGAAGAGATGAAATGTGGCCCCGAGGTACAGTTTATGGATTTTTGGCTGGGGTCGAACATCAGACTTACCCTGAGTTTCTTTGTGCCTCTTGTTTCAAATAGAATTTACCTTTTAGAAAACGTTTAGTCACATCAACAT